AAAAAAAAAAAAAAAGAAATAAATAAGAATTATATATTATATTATAATTTTATAATTAATAATAAATTTACAATATTATAAATTACTTACTCTTAATGTTGTATTGAATAGCATTATAAGATTTTTTATTTTTAGAATAAGTGTTGCATCTGTGCAGTAGGCCTAAAAAAATATCTTTTTAATATGATATATTATAATTTTATAATATTTTAATAAAATTATTAAAAATTATTAAAATATCGTTATTACTTACAGAATGAGTACGTAATGCATTTACGATTTTCGATAGTGCCATTTGCCATAATTCATCTAAATAAGTGCGTGTAGCTAAGCTATTACCGGTATTTAAAATATGATCTTCTACTACGAAAAATCCCACAATGCCATGTAAGTATATTTGATAACCATTTATACTTTCATGCTGGAAACAATATGTATCAAAATAACAAAAATTTAAGATACAGAAAATATTTTTGTGAAAATTAATATTTACCATATTAATAGGTGGCTGTAAAACTAATCTAGCTTGCTGTTTTCTTTGTTGCCTATAATATGCTTTAAATGTTTCTCCTTCACGAAGTACTGTATAAATATGCATACAACGATAAACGGGACTAAAATCCATTAAGTCTTGAGCGCTTAATTCTTCCTCTGATTCATTTGAATTTGTTATATGTGATCTTTTCTTTTTTCGACCAATAATTTCTGCTTCAACAGTTAACTGTTCTTGTGTCTAAAAAAAGAAAACATATTGTATGTATAAAAATTAAATTTTCAAGATGATCATAAAATCTCTCAAATTTATTTGGTAATGGATTATATATTAGATTTATATACAACTTTATACGAAATTTTGGTTCTGTATTTTAACTGAAAAAAATTTGAATAAACTATTTTTTGCATATTTTTCTTATTTAAAGAAATACAAAATTTTGAAAAAAATCTGATACATTATAAAATCAAATTTATATTAGAAAATTTTTTCAGATTTTTTCATTATAAATCTTTTAGATGCAAAAAGATTAAAAAGCTAACAAATTTTTAAAAATATAAATTTCATATAAATTTTAAAACAAATATTTTTATTTTTGTAATAGCAATTTATTAATATAATTCCCATTTTTAAATGTTTTTATATTATTTTGAATATATTATAATAAATTCAAAATTAATTTTTTATGGTATTTCATGCAAAGAATTAATTTTTTTAATATTTTTTTTATTATATATTA